ACACGAGATAGGATAGATAGGCAAAGGCACAAATGGCCACAGTGTGAGTCTTTTAACATTGGTGATCCATCAAATGCCTAGGCTCCATTTTTACTATGCAGTTCTTATACCTACCTTTACCGGCTAATAATGCCTGCAGAAAGGACATTTTGCTTTTGGTTGACTTACTAAAGAAAAGCAAGTGTTGGCTCTGAAACAAATATATCATCAATAGAAAGTATGGATGATTCCAGGAAGAGAGAATATGAATAACAACGGACAGGTGTTGCTGGATATTTGAGGGTCCTTTGCAAAGCAGGATGACTAGAAGAAGAAACGTAAGATAGCTGATGAGGTTGCAGAGACAACATCATTAGGCATCTAAGAGAAGATGCTGGGCAGGCAGTTAGGTGTGAGCTCTTGGAGTTCAAGGGGCAGGATCAGAAAATACTTTTAAAATGTGTATTAATCCAGTCATATTCAGAAATAATTTTAGACAATGTGTATCCCTTTCTGGTTTCAGACTATTTCATGGTTTTTTTTTTGTTTTTTTTTGTTTTGTTTTGTTTTTGTTTTTGTTTTTTTACTTAAAAATTCATAGAAGGTGACACAAAGAATCTGCTGTCTCCAAACCGAGGGACAGGTTTCCTGTTAGCAAGGCTTTTCTGCCGCTCGTGATATACGCATATCAGTAGCCATTACCCTGTAAGACCTAGGTGGTGGTAGGCTTCCATAATACCCAACAAGTTCGGTTTTCTAGGCAAATTGATGAAAAGCCCAAGGAGACAAGCTACGAGGTAAAAACAGGGATCTGGGGCAAAGCATGGGCAGTTGAGCTTTGAAGACTTGTGTTCATTGCTTTAGTTTTGAAGAAGGGGTAATATAAGAAGTCTTTAAAAGTTTGGAAAGAAATGAATTGAATTGACTCTATATATGTGTATATGCATAAGTATGTATAAATGTATACATATGCATATAGATATATATGTACAATTTCCAAATGAGAATCCATCTATCTTGAATATCATTCCTTCTCCTCTTCGAGATCCCTCTTGGACACCATCTCCCTTCATGACTCTCCGTGATCCTCCCTCCTAACCCTTCTACCCTGATCTGACTGAGGGGCTCGCGTGTCACATTTCTCCAATACCATGGCTCTGTTCAGGTTCGACTTCACTGTTTCCTTGTATGGCTCCTCATTCTCCATGGCCTAGAGGAGGCAACAGATTTTTGGGGGGAGGGGGAGGGAGAAAGGCACACGTTTTATGGTGGTGTTGTTTCACTTGAGAGGCAGACAAATGATTTCCTTGACTTTGTATTCCTAGCATATAAGCACTCAAGGAAACTTTAGTAGGTAAATAAACAAGCAGGATTAATATTTAGGGACACCATTTATATTCCTCAGTCTTCTTTTATTTCTTAACATATGTTTTATTTGTACTGAAGAGTAAATTCTGGAAAAAAACATACAAACCATAAATGCCTTCGCAATTAAGAATAATGAGATCAAATACAAAGAAAGGGGTGTCCTTACATATACCTTCCTAACTTCCTTCATTTATTGATTGATTGATTGATTGATTGATTGATTGAGACTGAGTCTCCCAGTATAGCCATGGCTGTCCTGTAACTCACTATGTAGATGAGTCTAATCTCAAACTCACAGATATCCCCCTGCCTTTGTCTCTCAAGTGAACTACCATACCTGTAAAATGCATGTCCCCCTCCTCAAAAAAAGCTGGCTGGAATTCAAGAAAATAAAGTAAATTACAAATTTAATGCTTGATGCTGTTTCTTCCAACCCAGTAAGCCTAGTTGAGATAGTTTATTTTACTGAGTAAGTGGACATAAGTTATCAGATCAAAGGTGTTCGAAAGATCAGAAAATTAGATGCAAGGGATTTTGAAAATTTCAAATTGTTATATTAAAAGCACTAAGATTATTTTTTAAACAATAAATGGGCTCCTCCTTTCTACTTTTAGAGAAGGAGAGGAAGAAGATGAAGGTAAAAGAGAAGCAAAGGAGAAGCTGGAAGGGGAGGCAAGGGAAGAGGGCTATGTTAGCAAAAGTTGAATTTGATATTGTCACGTCAATGTCTTGAAAGGAAGAAGGCTTTTTCTGGCCTATGGCTTTCATCTATTATCAACGCTATCAATGGCATCGTATCACCCAACTACTCCAGTGTTAAACATTATGGAGATTTGGGCTCAGATCTTATTTGTTTTCAGGAAGGGGTCAAGAGGCTAGAATTGATTCTGGTAGGGAAAAGAATTGCCCATGCCTATACAAGATCCTTTCAACACTAGTGACAACATAATGACTTACAAAATCTCCTTACCATTACTAGAAGCACAGTGTGAAACTAGACACTACATTCTTGGCTGTGTCCCTACACAAGGAAATGGCATAAACTTGTCTACATTGTGCTGTGAGACTGTATTTATCAGAACATCTATAACCAGCTACCGCATATATAGTACAGTAATATTGAGAGTTTGTCTCTCTGGAAACAAAACATCTTCACTAGCATCCAGAAAATATAATTATATGGTCTTGGAGGGTTTTTAAGGTCAATGAATCCCTTTTTCAAACAACTCAGCACACTTTCAAGGGGCTAAGAACTCCTCTCTCTTGCCCGTGTCCAGAAATGCCACTGGCATTGTGGAGGCTGTGGTCTCTGAAAACCGTTCCAGGGTCATTGCAAAGTTCCTGCTTCACAGAATTTGAACATTTCACAACAGTGGCCACATCAGCTTTCTAGCCCAGCCACTTGAAGTGCCATGACTCATTAGACAAAGAAATATTTTCTCGAGAGTCTACAAGCCAGAGCAGTAATGTGGCAGCTACAGATTGCTTCCTACCTATCACAGAATATAGAAATTTCACACCAACTTTCACACTAATCATAACTCTTCCTGTAAAAACAAGTTATTTGAACAATACCATTTCCATTACCGAGGTCTCTGATAACCTTTTTTTTTTCCCTCCAGAAAAGTTCACAGAAACAATTCAAAACCACTGTATCACCTTTGCCACCTTTGCCACCATCTATGACCTAGGCTTTGTGACTGGAATGTTATAGCTCCACACAGTAGGAGAGATGACTAGCACCAACAGATTATTTATACTGAATTTTTTCCACTTCTGTTTCCTTAAAAGAATCCTTGCCCTCCAAGGTTGTATTTTTAAATTACTGTCCAAATGCTATAAAATACTCTTAAAAGAATTACTAGAAGGTACTATTTGACACAATAGTGATGTCATTACAAAATTCTTTACTTTCATCAGTGGATTTCTACAGTGAAATAATGAATAGACTTCTAAAATTCTTCATTTCAGGCAAGAAAAATGGTTCAGTGGTTAAATGCCTGTACTTTAGCTGAGGACGGAAATTTGGTCCTCAGCACCCACATCAAGTGACTCACAATCATCTGTAACCCTAGCACGAGGGAATCCAATGTCCTCTTCTGGTATCTAAGAACACTACCTTCATCTGCACAGGCACAAATATACAAAAAATAAAAATCATTTTAAAATTTTTCTTGCATAGGGTAGTTCTAAATAAATACATATCACATCACCTATATAGTTTTTATTTTTGCCCCTCAACCACCATAAGACTTCTTGACTTTACTTTTTACCATCTTCAGTTATAACCCTTCACCCGCCTCCTACAAACTCTCCATTTTCATCTACACGTATTACTGAAATCAGCTAGTCTCTAGACTGTTGAATACACCCTATCTATTCGCTTAGTCATCATTTATACTATCTTTCCTTCTTTTGCCAATTCAAATTCTTCCCTTTCAAAATTTACTGCTTCCAAAACTCATGGGCTCTAGACTAACTATATTCATAATTTATCTCTAATCTTACTTTAAAATTTGTAATTACTTGTAAACACATGATACATGCTGCACTCGTGTGGGTTTCCTTGTAAGTTGTCTTGATGACTAATGGATGTCTCAGGTGAACGTATATAACCTTCCAAGTTGACCTTGACTTTAAAAATTTTTTTAATGATTTTTATTTTTATTTTTGTGCATCTGTTTAACTAAAACTCTGTGTTCCACACAGCACTCAAAACTGCTAGTGAAAGCTTTTTGAACGAGAGACGTATTTAATAAACTTTACAAAGTGAGTAACTAGCCATTGTGTGCACTATATACATTGTGTGCATTATGTTCATTGTATGCACTATATCCATTCTGAACACTATATCTATTGTATACAATATATCCATTGTGTACACTATATCCATTGTATGCACTATATCCATTGTATGCACTATATCCATTGTATGCACTGTATCCATTGTACGTAATATATCTATTGTATACACTATACCCATTGTATATACTGTATCCATTGTATGCACTATATCCATTGTATACACTCTATCCATTGTATGCAATGTATCCATTGTACGCAATATATCTATTGTATACACTATATCCATTGTATACACTATATCCATTGTATATACTATATCCATTGTATGCGCTATATCCATTGTATGCATTATATCCATTGTATGCACTGTATCCATTGTATGTAATATATCTATTGTATACACTATATCCATTGTATACACTATATCCATTGTATACACTATGCCCATTGTATACACTATGCCCATTGTATACACTATACCCATTATATACACTATACCCATTGTATACACTATATCCATTGTGTGCACTATATCCATTGTGTGCACTACATTCATTGTACACTATATTCATTGTATACACTATACCCATTGTATATATTATATCCATTGTATACACTATATCCATTGTATACACTATACCCATTGTATACACTATATCAATTGTATGCACTATATCCATTGTGTGCACTATATTCATTGTACACTATATTCATTGTATACACTATATTCGTTGTATACACTTTATTCATTGTATGCACTATAGCTGATGGTCAAAGGTGCTGATCATTAGTCATGAAAGTTTGTTTTCAGTTACTACTATGGTGGTACCTTGTGATTTTATACTTACAGGAACAGAGACCTGAGGATTGTCCACAAGTTTTCCCAGCACCGCAAAGCCATCAGCATCAATCTGACCTCTCGGCTTTATAGGTAAGGATTCGATCCTGATGCAGTCAATAAAAAGAGTGGCACTTGTTCTTTCCACGCCAATCATGAGCTTATGCCACCGGGAGTCAAACAAGGATGGTAAACTCAAGAAGGCTGCCGTTTGGAGACTCCCATCCAGTCCCTTGTATGAAAATGCGACAGACTTTGTTTGGCCATTTATCTTCACGCCAACTTGCTCCCTCCCTGAGGAATCTTGGATCTGCCAAATGTTCCAGTGCTTTTCGAGTGTGCTTCCAGTCATCCGGAAAGTAGTTAAAAAGGAATATTCTTCAGGCAGTCCACTGGGATACAAATGTCTGAGAAGAGTTTGAAAATAAGAAATATAAACCTTGTTTTCTGTACTTATACATACTTACCATTTTCCTGTGCTTATGTTATTTGGAATTCTAGTCCTGCAGAAAGGCTGCAGTGTAGAAAAAAAAAAACCTATGCAGCATTTGTTCTTTGATGACATCTTATATGAACCTTCCCCAGTTCAATCATTCATATACATTAAAGCTCCACCACCTTAAAATGTACATTTTAAAAGCACCTCCCTTGTAGCTAATGAAGGTTATCAACAGTATTATCATTTATTCTACCTAAAGAGCCACCGTTCATCGATGCCATCTTAGCCAAAATAACCGCACTCTTGCAATATCCTGGGCAACATTTCCTTCATAAATGAAAGAAGGTATTATTTAAAGTCTAAAATTGACTCTACTAGCTTATAAAAAAAAAACCACTTAATTAAAGTGGGTTTTTATTTTCTTACATATGTTAAAATTATTTGCTATCTTTATAATTTCAAGGTTACTCTCAAGAATTGTATTCTAGACCCACAGATACATTTTGAAAATTGGTAACCAACTACACGAAATTTATGTAAGGGCTTCTTCCCACTAAGGATGTCTTTTTCGAGGATTTTGAAGTATGATCGTCAAGCAGCAGCTGGTCATTTTGTGTTTGTTCCTGGATGTATAAGGAGCAATGCACAAGCATCTCTTCCTCCTCTACTCCAACTCCATCATGTTTCCATCTACCAAGTAAGGTTTACAGCGTTGCTACCTCTTCACTGCATTAAATGGAGTGCAGTGCCTAAGACGATCCTTGTTTATAGAGCACTGCCTTGTCTGTCTTTCCTTATCTGTGGATCTTGCCTTGAAGCAAGTTCTTAGGGAACGCCAGCTTTCAAAGTCTTCAAAGTTATTTCTTTACATCTTCTTCTAAATATAAGAAAATTTCTCAACAAAAAAAAAGAACTGCTAGGAAAACTAAATGTCAGTGAGATGTGTTTGCTAAATAAATAAAAAAAAAAATGAAAACAATTAGGCATTCAGAAAGACCCAGAGTTCCAAACCACCTTCCTTCAAGTCAAACTTTTGAATTTCGTTCCCTTTTTACAAATAATGAAGAAAAGGGAGACAAGGAGAAAGGTCTCAATGGGTATTGATCTCATAGATGACATTTAGTGTATTGAATCATAGTATATATGCACACATATGCACATACACTTTTGTAAAAGTATACAGAACTTTTTAAAAAACAAGGGAATGAAACTACCTAAAGTAGTCCTTTTTCACAATAGAACTAAGAACATCATCACATATTTGTTTTTAACATACTTTTAGTTTCTCAAGTGGTTTGTCACACTTCTTTTGATTTTTATGGTTTTTGGAATGATATTAATTCCAAAATAATCTCTAAAAAAGAAACTAAAGTTCTCATTTATAGATATACTCATTTGGAATACTCAGAGAATACGTCATTCTTTAAATGCACTGTCACACCAAGAGTACCTGTGTTTGTATCTCTTTCTCTACACATATGAAGATCATATGTATATGTGTAAAAGTGTAACTATGACTAATATGTTAATCTTTTAGAGTAGACAAGTATATTAATAGATTAAGAAAGAAAAATGCCTCATTGTTCATGTGAATAAAATATACATGTTTGTGTGTACCAAAGACTGTTAAATGTCTCTGAAACCTAATCCACAGAACAGGCAGCCCAATGTATTATTAAACACCTAAGATTCTATTCTTGAAAATATGCTATGCCTATCAATAAGCAAACCTGAGTGCATACATAATTTAAAAGAAAAGTTGGGTCTATAAATGATTTATTGTATCCCGATCTTCATGAAGCACCATAAGTGGAGAACCATATGGATTTGAATAAAAGATTCAAAAATCTTTGAACCTTGAAATATTGTTTATGACCTTAATACCGAGAAAGCTAGGGTCTGTGTTGCAAAACAAAGCAAGCATAACATGTTTATAAATGGTAGTTAAGAATGGGATGCTATTATGCCTTTTAAAAAGATTAAAAGGAAGCATAATCATGTCTTTTAAGTCTTCCATAATTATGAAGATGGATGAGTAAAAATTATGATCATCTAGCATTGGGTTTTTTGTATCATGTGTTTCTCCCATGAAGATCCTATGCATTTTGTCACTGTCTCAGGGTCTATATTCTATAGTACAAAAAGACTCATTCAAAACCAAGTGTTTCTGTTGCAGAGAATGAGTCCAACCCTTCTTTCCTTGTCATCTAGCTTTTGTGTGAGTAATTTAAAAGAAAGAAATCAAATTCCACAGTACATATGGACCACATTTTCATTATCCATACCTCAGTATGAGGTCATTGCCAAACTAATGATTGTTTCTCTTCCCTGGCCATTGTGAATAGTGTGGCAGTGAACACTGATGAGCAAGACTCTGTCCTTTGGACATATACTGAGGAGTGATACAGCTGTGTCAGTCATACAGCAGATCTATCCTTAGGTTGTTAAAGAAAAAATGAAATCTCCAGGTAAATCATGACACTAGACAATATTGTGAGTGAGGTGACTCGGACCCAGAAAAACTAAGGCCTCAGGCTCTCTTATTTGTGGTTCTTAGCTCTGAATCTCAGTAAGAAGGAACTATGGTGATGGAGGAGTGAGAAGGGTCTCCTGAAAGATGGAGATGGCATAATTCAGGTGATATGAAGGGGAACTGGGAAAAAGATGGAGGATATCTGTGTAGAGGAAAAGAAAAATATAGTGGAGAGGAATAAATAACACTAAAGATGTCTGAGAAAACCATAGAGAATCACATTATAGAGAATCCTATTACATTGTTTTGACTTTTAAATTTACATAAAAATGTACTTGCATAAAACTGGGAATATTTCTACCTCAAGACCCAGCCATAACTACCCCTAGGCATATACCCAATAGATGTTCCACCATGCCACAGAGACACTTGCTCAATGATGTTCATAGAAGCTTTCTTTATAATAGCCAGAAACTGCAAACAACCTAGATGTCGCTCAACTGAAGGATGAATACAGAAAATGTGGTATGTCTACACGATGGAATACTATTCAGCTATTAAAAAGAAAGACATCATGAATTTTGCAGGCAAATGGATGGATCTTGAGAATACCATCCTGAGTGAGGTAACCCAGACCCAAAAGGACATGCATGGTAAGTACTCACTGGTAAGTGGATATTAGCCATAAAACACAGGATATCCACACTCCTCAGACCCAAAGAAGCTAAGCAAGAAGGCAGGCACAGTGAGAATGCTTGAATCTCAGTTAGAAGGGGGAATGAAAGTTATAAAAGGCAGATGGAGAGAGGGGATTAGTGCCAGTCATGAGAAACTTACTTTGAGTCATTGGCTAGGAGAGTTAGGAGACTTTCTAATCAATATAGCTATTACCAGTACACTCAGTTTCATTCAAGAATTTGGAGGCCAGTCTCTATGGCGGAAGACACCACACATGTTAGACACAGAACTTGGAGGACTCAAGCTGTGTCTGACCTGGGGACTGGCTCTTACAGTATTCCAACATCCTCTGCAAGCTGCCTTGGAGAAAAGCAGTTTGGTCCTGCATAGGTGCAATGCCTATGGACCACAGCAATGACCACCATGGCAAAATATTTCAAAAGTGCAATAATGGCACTATATATTGGCAGCAACAAATTACCATCTAACTGGATTTAAGGCCTACTTAGTATGATGGAATTTATGCCTGGTACTATAAACCGAGCCAACCATCCATGGCTGGTAACACCATGAACCCTTAAGGAGAACTTATTATTGACACTTTCCTAATCCAGTACATGTTCTAACTGCATTCAAGATACCTATTCTTTGGGAGTAGCAACCAGAAAATCCAAGATGCCAGGAAAGCAAGAGCTTTCCAGGACCCCACAAGGATGATATTATTTGAAGGGGAAGGACAACCTGTTAAGACCATATCCAGAGGTTAGGCACTGCCCCCCAGTAGAGGGATGGGGCCACCCTCTCATCTCCAAAATTTTAACCTAGAATTGTTCCTGTCTAAAGGAAATACAGGGACAAAGTGTGGAGGAGAGACTGAAGGAAAGACTATCCAGAGACTGCCCCACCTGAAGATTCATCCCACATGCAGAAACCAAATGCAGACACTATTGTGGAAGCCAAGAAGCGCTTGCTGACAAGAGCTTGTTACAGCTGTCTCCTGAGATGCTCTATCAGAGCCTGACCAATACAGATGCAGATGCTCGCAGTCAACCATCGGACTGATCACAGAGACCCCAATGGAGGAGTTAGGGGAATGACTAAAGGAGCTGAAGGGGCCTTATCTGGCATCAATAGGAGGGGAGGCCCTTGGTCCTATGGAGGCTCAATGCCCCAGTGTAGAGGAATGCTAGGGTGGAGAGGTGGGTGTAAGTGGGGGGAGCACCCTCAGAGAAGCAGGGTAAGGAGGGATGGGATAGAGGGGCTGCAGAGGGGAAATCATGAAAGGGGATAACATTTGAAATGTAAATAAATAAACTATCCAATTTAAAAAATGTTCAAAAAAAGTTAAAAATAAAAAGATATTTTCATTCTGGGAAAAAAAAAAACATATCCTTCTACCCACAGATGAATGTAGCTCTCATTCCTTATCAAAGAAGCCTATTTTTTGAAGCAGAGGCCACAACAGAAGTTCAGAACTAGTCAAAATGGAAACTGTCTGTGGAGTACTGAAAATGGATACATCTACAAAGCAACCCTTCATGGAAGGTTCGGCAGGCCTCACAGAAGAGAGGCTGGGAACATTCTAAGAGCCCAGAGGACCACGATAACTGCCAAGAGATGTGTCTTCTAAAGGACAAGAAAGCTGCACCGGTGACATCCCAGCAGTATGGTTGCCTAAACAAAACCATTGATGGCGCCACTCGACTAAGTGAATAGGAGAAATCTCACAAGGCCCCACGCTAGATGAAAAGCTACAAACAATTACTGACTATGGAGAGAGGGAGAACCAACCTTTCCCAAGGATGAGTTTCCTACATGGCTTCCAAGTAGCAAGCCCTACTGTGTGTGTGTGTGTGTGTGTGTGTGTGTGTGTGTGTGTACAAAGACTAAGGGCACATGAATTTGAGAGGGAGCAGAGAAGAAACGGAGTTAGTGGGAGAAGAAAAGGAAAATGATGTAAAAAAAAAAAACCTCAATGCTCTTTAAAATACAAATTTTAAAATAAATAGAAAGAATTCATTACAGAGGAGGCTTTTGTTTGTTTGTTTGTTTGGCATCATCCAGGACCTAAGGCCGCATGTGTGGCTCCCTTTCAGCACCAGGACACTTGAACAGCTCCATTGTGAGCCTTCAAACCACACTGCGGCTTCGAGTTAAATTTATGTTTCACTTCTGGTGCTGCTCACAGAGAGTCCTTTCAGTCAAACCCAGACAAATTACCAAAAAACAGAAAGCAAAATTCTAAGAACCTGTCCTGGATTGATGTATAGCAGTCTCCGAGGTGTTTTTATTCCTGGAATGGAAAGTACATTGCAAACCTAACATGAAGAGAGGTATTCAGGTGCTAATGACTGATAGGTGAACACATTCTTTTTGGTTTGGGGTTTTTTTGTTTTGTTTTGTTTTAGCAGTTCTGGTGACTTAATTCATTGGCTAATGCATTTGAGGTAAGTGTTCTACCACTGAGCTGTACCCCAGGGCCTTTATCTTATAATAATCCAAGAAATACCTAACAGTTTACAAAAAAAAAAACCACTAATATTGAATAGCTGTAAAGATGTGTAAATGCACTGAAGGGAGGTAATTAGAGTCTCACTGATAGGTTACCTTGTTGGAATCCTGAAGTCTACATTGCTTCCCAGCTTGTAAGCCACTTGTAATGCTGTGGACCCCACCACCCTCTGGATAGTCCTTCGAGATGCAGCCTTCTCAATTTGGAACTGAGAAATCAGGTCAAATCCTATGGAAAGAGAACAGAAAAGGGAAATTCGAAGATGCAACTGGTTCTATTCCTTTCCCAAATAAACTATATCTGGAAAGCGTGTGTTTCCAGTACGATATGGTGCTACTCGCCTGGTAAGTCATCTTGGCCAATCCTGATCTTGGGACAGAGTTCACTTCCACCATTAGAAATGGAATTGGCAGGAAATCCTGCGAAAGCAATACCGTGTCATCCAATCCATCCACTACAGGATAATGATTCATTAATCTGATGTTGAATAATATTAAAATAATATTGATGACCAAGCAACGGCTGAAAGCACAATGTTATACAAGCTTGCTCGCAAGCCATTTATTTGTCTTGAACCCGATGCCTCAGTGGTCAGAATCCATTCACCTTCAGCTTCTGCAGGAAGGGATGCAAGGCATGGAACTAGAGACCTGATTTATGATGGAGGAATGTTCCCCCTGGAGCTGTTGGGGATTTGCTCCATTTGGAGGCAGAGCTGCACAGTGTCCCGGATGGCATGGGGTCAGAAGCCTGTTTGGAAAACGTCTGGTGGTTTGGGCTAGAAATACTCCTTAAATACCACCAACTCTAACTCTACAATGACATCACCGTGTCAGCCTTGAGCCAGTTTCATGGGGCTCCCAGACAAGTGCAGTTCTTGTTGTCAGAGACAAGTTCTTATAACTGCCAGACCCTCTCCTGCCTCGATAAGACTCTTAGACTTCACACACACGTACACACACGTACACACACAGACACACACAGACACACACAGCTTCAGTATATAGCTGAGTTTTGCCCTACCCATTAAAGTACATCAAATATTTTCTTTTTATCCTCCTGACCCCAGTGTTTTGGGGAAATCTATACATCTACCCATCCATACATCCACATAGTCACTCAGTATTTACCTTTACCATCTGAAAGAAGCACCATGTCCAGCTCTAGAAAAAACACAACTATCCTTCCTGTCTACCAGCTTACAATTGAGATTTCCTTTCCAGGCTCAACATTGAGCATGGAACCAACCATCCAAACATCCCCCCAATGCAAGTCAGAGAGGGAAAGCGTGAAGGACCATTGGAAGCACAGTGTTCACTCAACACAGCCCTGCCTCATCACAGTCTTGCCTGCTTCTGGTGGCAAGAGATACTTCACACCCCATAAACCATGACTCTTACTTGCACGACGCTTAGGAGTTGCAGATACCCAGGGTCCCAGAAAACTGCATACAAAGAAGAAAACTGGAATTTTCCTGAAGAGGAGAGAGGGGAAAAAATGACCCAAACAGGAATCCTTTCAGATGGAACTACTTTCATATTTCAAACCTGCCAAATCTGGCTGATGGAGACAACCAAATCCCAGGGCATACTACTGCCTGTATTTCCATTTTGAAAGCTCACTTAGAAATTCTGCAGATAATTTCTTTTATCTTTGTTTTTTGGTCCTCTTTATATAGCTGTCTCTTCTTTTTCAATTTCAAATGCTTATGTACTTGCTATACAATCTCATCTGTCTCTACCTCTGTCTCTCCCCTGGTTCTCACTGTCTCTCACCTCCCCTTATGCTACCAATACTGAAAAAAAAAATTCTCACCCATCTCCCTCCAAAGGCGTGGGCTTACCAGAAGTTCTTCATTTTCCCAGTAGGTTCTCTTTGCTTTATAAGAGTCACCATAAAGGGATGAGAGGGGAGTCCCTACTCCCCAAGACTCCTTCCCTCTCCTTCTAGGACTCCGAGTTTTGGCCCCAAGCTTGCTCCTTCTCGCCCCTCTCAGGGCTAAAAGCAAAAAGAGTGAATCGGGGGCAGGTAATGACTCTTTAAGCTGAAGCAAAGGAAAGGGGTGGAGAGAGGCAGTCTGTAAGCCCAGGCCCAGCCAGGGGTGTGCCTGGCCCAAAGCTAACAAGGTTACACTGAAAGAGGGATTGAATGGGAATAGCCTTGCTGAGAAGAAAAAAAACCAGGATGTGGGGAATTTCACCAGAAAAATGCAGCAAGCTGCTATAGGAATACAGTGCAGGCTTTTAGAACAGCTATAGGGCACAGTGGAGGCTTTGAGAGCTGTTGTAAGGGCACAGTAGAGGCTTTTAGTGGCCACAGGATCCAGCAAAGAGCTGCCTATTCTGAGGCATAGGTGTGGGGGCTCACTGGAGCCTTGCTGCCCAGTCAAGCTAGTTTAAACACACACTTCTGCCTTAGCAGTTATATGAACTTGAGCAATGTAATTATTGTCCCCATATTTAACTACCTTATCTATAAAATGGGACGAAAGCAGTTCCTTAACAGCAGTTCCTGAGGGAATCAAATGAGTTTGGCAAAGATGAAGGATCTCGTGCCAAAGTCATCCCCTGGCATCCTTATCCTGATAACAAGTCATTGTGTGCTTCCCTCTCTTGTCCACGCCAGCAGCCTTGTAGCATACCTGTCTCACAATCACCCGTGAAGTTAGACTACACATCGTTAACGCCATTGATGCTATTCATTGTGAATCAGCTCTCTGACTTACAGTTAGAGAGTACAGTATGGGATTGAATAGACCAACACATTATTTTCCATAAACAACTAGACACTGTATCACTAGGATCACAGACCCAGACAGGAGTGTACGCACACCACTGTTACACACGCACAGGCCCCCTCCTGAACCTGAGCACTCCTTACGAGCAACAGGACTCCTGGCCCTGTCCAGCAAGCACAGAATGCCTTACTTCTGGTTCCATCTCGGAGGATACAAATGTCGGAGGAACACTGGCACTTTGAGTCAGGTGGACCAATCATCTCTGTAAATCGTGGTGCATAATAGTTTTGAGGTTTGCTTCCTTGAATTATTTTCACGTTTTTGACTCATTACATTTTTATTTTATTTTACTTTTGGTGTTTGTATATGTATACATGTTTTTACATGTGTTGGGGGATAGGGTACACATACACACATGCATATATATACATAATATATACATATATATGCATATACATATATGCATACATACATATATATGCATATGCATATATATGCATATATAATGTATATATATATGACCCTGAAGGGGCTCAAAATTGATGTTGAGTGTCTTCTTCCATAATTCACCACTCTATTTAAGGAGGCAAGGTCTGTCACTGAACCCAGAGCTCACTGGGGATCTGTCCTTCATGCTGAGATTGGAGGTAGCTACCAGGTCTGCCTAATAGGGAATAGGGAATTCGAGGATCCAAACTCTGGTCCTCAGACTTGTGAGGCAAAAAAAGCGTTACCTGTTTGTTGTTTCAATAGTCTTTCTTACTTTGGCTTTCTCAGCTTGCTGGAGAGTCTCTGGTTGGACTTTAACCAGGCAAGTCCTACTGTTCAGGCTTTCCTTCTATGACTTTGTCCCTCTGGCCTACTCATTGTGGGGGAGGGGGATGTCCCCTCTCCTTCCCAGAGAGGGACATTCATTTCTTCTTATTGTGTGCTGCTGTCCACAAGGCGGCCTGCTCTCTGTCAAAATTCCCAATCTCTCAGGCAACTGCCCTGGTTAGTAACATGAATGGCCTGAGACCTGCTTATTTGTTTAAGCTAGTTGAAGTTTATGTAAAACGGGAAAAAAAAATGTGCCTCTGGGGAGCATCCTAATGGCCTGAAATTATGAGAAACAAGCCAGCCTTAGATCTGCAGAGAGAAAGGCATTTTCAAAAAGGAATTTCTTTCTATACAAGCTCTGTGTTTTGTGGATCTGTAAGAAAGAACAGGGGCAATTTTCCTGTACACGTAGCTGTTTCAGAAATCCTTCAAAGGCTTGGAGAGAACTTACCTTTATGCTTGCCCCTTCCCAAGCCACTTTGAAGAATTCTTTACAAGTGAAATAAGAAAGCAGGTTAATGGGCCTTTAAATAAAAGATAAGATAATCGAGAGGAAACTATACTCGTAAGTGACAAGGCTTCTGGCCAGGCTGGCTGTTTATTTTAAATAGTGAATAACAACCTAGCAGTTCTATTAAGACAAAACTGTAAATCCTGAGAAAGCAAAGCCATATACAACCTTTAAAGATGCTTGTGTCTGCTCCATCGGTCTTAGCTGTCATTAACTGTATTTCCTAATGTGACATTGAATTCTCACAGGAAGAAGGATCAAACTCCACACTCTATCCTTGTTTGGATCAAGCTATGCACTGAAGTCATAGGGACTTAAGCTTTTTTGTCTTTTTTTAAATTATGTGTACATGTGTACATAATTTTGCATGTGACTGCAGTTACCTGCAGAGGCCAGAAGAGAAGAGGGCATCAGGTCCCTTGGAGTTGGAGTTTCAGGTAACTGTGATTCAACGAACAGGTGCATAGGAACTGAGCTCAGGACCTCTTAAGTGCTTTTAACCACAGAGTCGTCTCACCAGACTTAGTTTTGTTTTGGCTTGGTTTTGTTTTCATTTTTGTCGCTAACACTGTTCCCACCCCCACACTTTACCTAACTATTCGTCCCTGAAAGACCAACGGAAAGGAAAAACTTGTCATTCACGATAGATCATAAATTCATTAAGAAAACATGACATTTCAAGTAATCAGTTTTACATAGAAAAATTATTTATGCACACTCCTTAACTCTCCACCGTGTACACAAAGATCCGACAGTGTATATACGCACACTATCTTTCCTCGTCTATAATCAGAACGATTTATTCCTTCTAACTTAAATTAGGGCTCACAGTCACAGTCATCTTTCTTGAGCATCTGTTTTCTTTCATTTGTTTGTTCAAGCATTCGATACACGTTTATTGAATAACTGTATCACCAATACATACTAGGAGTTGAGAAGACAAAAAGCACGAATAACCACATGCCCGCCCTGAGGAAAATCATAGTGTAGAATAGGAAGAAAAATGACTTATATTGTTGAGAATAAAACTAACTGTCACCAAGGATGAAGTCACTCCAAGGACACAGGAAAAGATTTCATCCAGGACATGAAATCTGAAAAGATGACTAGAAGCCTACCAAGAGACTGGGGACGACCAGTGCAGAGAAAGCAGACTATATTATAGAGGGAAGAACTTACATATGGAGAATGACCATCTGAGCTTAGAGACAACTTGGTACTTAGTCAGTCATGGCCCTCCTACTTCAAGCCCTAAACCCAACTCTACAGTTACAGCATAGACTGACCAGCTCTCTGCCCCACACAGCTTTCACGTGGATGGGGAGACAGACATCGAACACCTTTATAAAACAACTTCAGTCAGAACTTTAATTAAAACTATTAGGGAAATGTTTGACTGGTCTAAATGGAGGGGGCCAGGGAAGGCTGCTCTGAGGGGATCGACGTTGACGGAGACTGGATGAAAATGAAGAGATGAGATTGATAAAGTAGTTGGAAGGGGAGTGATGGAAGGATGGAGGCATGAAGGGAAGGAGGGATGGAGGGACGGAGGGATGGAAGGATGGAAGGGTGGAGAGATGGAAGGATGGATGGGTGGATGGATGGAATGAAGGATGGGTGGATGGGTGGATGGGTGGAAGGAAGGATGGGTGGATGGGTGGGTGGAAGGAAGGATGGGTAGATGGGTGGAAGGAAGGATGGGTAGATGGGTGGAGGGGTGGAGGAGTGGAGGGGTGGAATGGTGGAGGGGTAGAGGGATGGAGAGCGCAGAGAAAATATATTTCTCATTTTGAGCTTGAACAACTAAATATATGGGAAATTTTTACGAAATATCCAATAGGAGGAACTCGGTGAGGGAGCCTGAATGATATTAGGGAGTTTCGACTTTGTTCTGGTTGTCATGGAAACTACCATACGCCTTTGGGTACCCAGTGACACTTTCCGGCATGTCTTTGGAAAGGATTCTGATGTTGCTTGAAGGATGGGAGAGACTCATTTGAACAACTTATACACATACACAAAACTAAAGCAAAGGTTTCAGAAAATAGCACTTATGTATGTAAACGTGCTATACTCTATTTTCCAATTCATTTCCTATTGCCTTTTCTAATAAATATGAACAGCTCAATATATTGATGTCAAAACCAGTAATGAGTTGCAAGTCATGGTTAGAAAAAACACTGGATTAGAACACAGTAGACACAATGTCTCTTACTTCCTGACACGGGACTTGGAGCATCACACAAAACTCACTGAATAGTGGGGCAAGTGTCTTTGTTTCCACATGAGTATCTGTTTTTCTTTTAAATGTGATTTTGAATGGAGTAATAATAACCTGATGACAATAATTAAAGATGTTGTGACCACTGTATTTAATTACGTTGTAGCCTTTGAATAAAGAGGGGTGTTTTAACCTTCTTCTTAATGGAATTGAGTTTGAAGTTTTATTCACCTGCCTTTGCTTTCAGTGTAAAGGATCCAGAGTGCCTGGCAGCACGTTGTGTGAGTTGTGTGAGGGTCCTGTAAATTAGCCACAGCTAGAGCCTGAAACTCATAGAAATCTCTGGCTGAGACACTGATTAACAATCAGAGAGTTGCAAAAACTAAGCCTCCCACTTTCCTGCCTTGGGTTCAGTTTTACTGTAAAGAAATTCCACCCTGATCAAAGCTCTATTTTAAATCTGCTTATTTTGGTCCTGTGCACGTAATCGTAGCCTCATCATCTAGACTCAGAGCAAGCAAACAGAGCCCCGTGATGTACTCATCTCTCTGTGCAATCACTCACAAATACATGTGCCCTCCTTGTGAAACAGTAATGCCAAAGACACG